CTGTACAGACTCTTTGGGTGGCCGTCATGTTTTGAGTATCTCGAGGCCTCCATCAATGTACAGTGTGTAGCCTTCCTGGCCGGATCGGTGCGTTGCATCCTGCGGCGCACAAACGAAGAGCTTGCTTGCTCACCCGAGGACTTGCGAAGGATTCAGCCAAGAGTCCGTTACGTGTGCCATGCCACCATCTCTTTGACGCGAAGTGGGAAGGCTCAACAACAACCCAAAGCTGAACTTCCATAGCTAAATTTAAGTGGTTGCCTTCAAGAGCCGGCTAAGCTTGGAGGACAGACGTACCAGACGGAGATCCAGGTGAAGCATCGCCGACGAGGTCCGCCGTGGGTTGCCGGTCTTCCAGAGTTTCGTGCAGGATTTTTGACTGTTTCCTGGAAGTTTTACGGTAGTTGTGGCACTCCTGCTCCACTCCGAATCCGGCCACATCCTTCCAATCCCTGCCAAACTCATGTCAGCTTTTCTGGATGCGGATTCGTCCTTCCGGCTGTGGATAGCTGCGGCCAGTCGGTCCCCGCCCGTGTCGAAGTTCGACTTGTAAGCAAGTTATGTGGATGTCGGTGGAATCAGAGTTGCCCATACCGCAGGCGTTTCGGTTCTATCTGCTGCGGCTGATGCCATGTCTTAGTGGCACTCGTCCTCCAGGCATGGTTGACGGTGGCATGGTGTTTTCTCGAAGATGGAACAAGCTTCTAGCGAAAGCATATGGCATGGGATACATGCACCGTTCGACGTATGCTGCTGCCTGCCAGGTCCCGATGGTTCGAAGTCGTCTCAGAGGACTGTCCTTGCGGACTAAATGCTCGCACCAATGCTCATGGCAGTGAAGTTAAAAGGAACGGCCTGCTGCGAATGCCCTTGATCTTGAACTCCTGTCAAGCTGTGGCCGCTGTAAAGCTGTAGCCAAGCAGAGGAGGCCGGACAATCTTGACACGAACGAAGAGGATATACAACACAAGTGACTTTGGGAAGAAGATCAAACGTAAGACCAGCGGCCAATTCGCTGCGATCGAGTGCATACCTGGATGATTGCTCTTGATGCATGTTGACAGGAACTGGTAACGTCAGACCTGCCGAATGTGCTTGAGAGCCAAGTACTCCGCTTATTCTTCACACGATGTTTATGAATTCGCATGAATTCGCGAAGCACGGCTGCAATCCATGATTTGCATGTTTGGCATGAATGTGACGCTCCAAGACTGGCGCCGCGTGGACAAAGAAAAAATCAGGAAATGCTCGTCGAACTCGGAGCATTTTGGGTGCTCTTGGCTCCAGAAGTTTGCAAATCAAGCCTCTGTGCCCGAACCCATCAACTCCTTGCAGAAGGCATTTTGGAGTAAACTGATGGTGAAGCCAGCAACATCCCAAGCCCCAAGCAACGGAGTTGGAGCCGCAAGGCATCCACTGCTGCCGCTCCTACTCCAACCCCGCCGCTGCTAGTACTGTTACAAAAAACAGTCACGGCTACTCAGCTACTCCTCCTACTACTAGAACAACAGCACAACTGCTACTACGACTACTATCACTACCTACTACTGCTTTTGCTAAGTCGACGATGATACCATACTACTACTACTACTACTACTACTGCTACTACTACTACTACTACCACTACTGCTACTGCTACTACTACTACTACTACTACTACTACTACTACGACCACCACTACCACTACTACTACTACTGCCACCATGACGACGACGACTACTACTACCACGACTGCTACGGCCACTGCCACTGCCACTTCCACTGCTACTGCTACTCCTACGACGACGACAACTACTACTACGCCACTATTCCTGCTACTCCTACTCTATGACTAGGACTCAGATTATGACTGTGTGCGAGCTTCGAATACTTGAGATACTTTGTCGAGCCCTCTGCAAGAAGTGGTTGCTGCGGAGGTGGTGGTAACATCAAGAGGGTTGATATTGACAATAGGGGGCAGACTTCGTGCAATGATGACAGTGGTCCCAGCAGAAATCCTAGAAGTGGTGATCTGGATCTTCACCAGCCGTCAGAATATGTTAGATCCATGATCAGAACAGGAGCCAGCATCGACAAAATAGTGATGCAGTTCATACATGTTCATATACTAAACTGTGAAGCGTGGCACGGACACCGCTGCCAAGAGAACAGCCCTGAGGTGGGGTGAACGTGTCCACGTCCTCTTGCCCAGACACCCAAATGCATGAGTCCCCTCGATCTCCCGAGTTCGTCTCTTTTGCAACCCTGCCTTCCACATGATCGGCTGAAGATTCTGAGATTGCGAAATGCCTCCGCTGTGGGACTTACCTGTGGCAGGGCTGGTGACAGCAGATCCGCAGATGTCGAGGATGCCCAGAGGAGTCCAGCATTGAAACCTTTGAGCTTCTCCGGACTGTCTGCCCGACCACGTCGTCGGAGTCTTGTACGTGACATGGGAGCTTCAGAAAACTAGGGTACCTTATTTGGGGGTCCTTCTAATAGGGATCCTATTGATTAGGCTACTATATGAGGGTCCCCTATTTTCGGAAACCCCCACATGACGCCTTATGCTGGCTGCCGCTGTCGCTGTGGCGTGGTTTCACAAAGTCGTTCACTGTAGACTCTGTAGACTGCGCATTCGTAAGCGCTTGAGGCTTGGAGCTGGCTAGGTGCACCCCAAAACCCTATTCTAATTATTATTGTTATTATTCTTATTATTATTGTTATTGTTATTATTATTATTGTTATTGTTATTGTTATTATTATTATTAGTAGTATTATGATTATTACTAATTATTATTGTTATTATTAAGGCCCTTATGTATGGATGATCTCTCCAGGACTGAGACCGGAGAGATGAGCAGTCTGCCACGAGCGAGTCCAGCTGCAAAGAGGCCTCTCTGTATTCCCCGGTCAGGTGTAGTAAGGCCGGGTTTAGGGTTTCGGGTTTAGGGTTTAGGGTTTAGGGTACCTATAGTCTCCCTTGTAGTTCCTTTTTTGGTTTATCCAATTTTATATTTAGGATCCTAAAAGGTAACCCCAAAAAGGAACTACAATGGAGACTATACGTAGTAAGGCCGGGTTGGCATCCCGTAAGCCTTAAACCCTTGAAGTTCGCACAAAAATACAGAGCCCCTAAACCCCATCGGTTTAAGGTTCGCTTCAATGAAGTGCAAGGGCCATTCAGTGCCCACAAAAGCCACGCTGTTCTCTAAACGCGCTGGTGGCCTTGCAGGGTCCCGTCTCCAAAGCTACCGAGCGCGGGAAGCAAAGATGATGCTGGGAGGCTGGACCAGCCAGCCTTCAGAAAAGCTTTTGCTTCCTCTTTGAGGTACCAATTGTCGGGTGGCCACACAGTGCCAAAAAGATACGCCATTCCCCCACATTCCCGCGTGTGCTGGCTAGAGCAGTCTGAAGTCGGTTCTCACCTCTTGAGGCTCATTGTCGACACCGTGGTATATTTGCATCGGTTCGGCTGTGCAACCACGAGTCACACCACGCATGCAGCTGCGCTCAGTAGCCTTTGATCTCATAGGAATTGGGAGAACGACCAATTCCCAATTCGGCGGGGTCGGGTTTCCATAGATACTGTAGCCCGCCCGGAGGGCCAAGTCGCCAAAGTGGGACTTCAAGAAGGGGGACGACCCCAGCAAGAAGACCTCGCAAGAGTCCGCGAGGCTAGAGTGTGGGTGATGTTGTACCGCGGAAGGGCTGTGTGGCGACTGCATCTCGCAGGAGCGCTTCGCCAA